ATATATATATATATAGGCCTATAAAAAATTATAAAATAATTGATCTGATGCCCTTTCTAGCCAAAATTAAATAGTAGGGCCTACATCCCAAAAAGCTTGGCTGTAATCCTCAGATCTTTAATACCTCCACTGCTATGTGGTTAGGGAGTGCTGGTTTGCTTCCAAAGATGGATGAATATCTTATCATTTTTTGGAGGAAGAGGGAAGGGGAGAAAAGAAAAGGATTAAGGGAGAATTTCAAAGAGGAAAGGAGAATAACTAATTTTATGTTCAGAGTTGTCCTAGGAGTTTGGGGATTCCTGAAGTTTTTCACTATCAATTTTCCCAAAAGTGAAACAGAAAAAAAGCAAGAAGAAACTTATACCTATAGGATAATATGTGATGTTCTAAGAGACTAGTTCCTTTCAGGTATTTATAAAATGATCATTTAGAACCAAAATACAAAATTACCTTTCTAAGTAGTCACTTATGGATTCCAAACATTTCACATTATATGGGGGAAAAGTTAGCATTACTGTAATACCTGACAAAATATTTTGAGCCACTTTCTCACTCCATTCGGGTAATTCCTTTGCTTTGTCTTCTGAACCTGGCTCATAGGGTACAATGTGACTCAAATTAACTTCTTCATTTGGAGTATCTTTGGTCTAAATAGTAAAAATATTTCAAAATGTAAAACAGTAAAATACTAAGGGGAAAAATGATAAGCAGTATTTAATAAAATATTAAGTCAACAAACACTAGTTATAATTAATAAGATTATTTCCACCCAACATAGCTATCAGTACATTTTATACACAATATCATAACTGCCATGAAACTGAAAACTATACTGGTCTTATGTAAGGTCTCACTGGTAAATAAGGTTTAAATACCAACATATCTCCAATAGATCATTTATCAACTCATATTTAAATTGATGAGATTACGGGGTTCCTTTATATAGCTATCAACCCCTTAATAAGATTATGCACATGGTGTACTCAGTAAGATTTAAAAGATTTGTTAAATGACTCAATCGGTAAGGATACATCCAAATAAATTGGTTTTGACAGAAATCAAATAAAGCAAGTAAAAATATATAAACACAGAAAAATCTACTCCATCTGAATGGAAATGGGGAACATAGAAATACCTGTATTTTGCTAATTTAATAGCTGTTATGTGAGCTAGGGCCAACACTCAAATTGTCAAAGCTCAATGTACTCATTCTAAGAACTTAACAGCAAGCTAACTCAGACCTCATAAAATAATTTGAAAATAAAACTGCTTAAGAGAACTAAGAGAACTTCACTTAAAATATAAAACATTAAAAACAAAAACTTCTATGGGAAGGGGGAAGCCATTCATAAGTAAAACCTAAAGACAAACGGCACAAAATATTTACAATTTCTATCTCTGATAATGGGCCAATGTGCTAATATATAAAGAGCTCCTGGAAATTGAGAAGACTAGTGACCCAGTCATAAAAAGTGGACAAAGTACAAGAACAGACAACACACAGAAAACAAAATTCAAGGAATCCTTGAGCATATACACATCACTCATAATAAAATCAATACAAATTAAGATATTCCAATACACCATTTCTCATCTATCAGACTGCCAAAATACAGAAAGACTGATCAGCTTCTCTGTGGATGAGGCTATGAGGAAATGGGTCTCCTACACTGCTGGTGGGAGTGCTGAAGAGTACAGTCCTTGGGGAGGGGAAATTAGCAAAATCTATCAAAATTAGGGGTGGCTTGGGTGGCTCAGCTGGTTAAGCATCTGACTCTTAATTTCTGCTCAGGTCATGATCTCACAATTTTGTGGGTTCGACCCATGTCAGGCTCTGCGCTAACCCTGCAGAGCCTGCTTGGGATTCATGCTCTCTCTTGCTCTCTCTCTGCCCCTCCCCTGCTCACACTCTATCTCAAAATAAACTTAAAAAAAAATTATTAAAAAAAATCTATCAAAATTACAAATGCATTTATCTATTGACTCAGTAGCCCCACTTCTAAGAATTTACCTTATGAATTACCTGCAATGTATGAATCAATGGATCTAAAAGTTATTCACTGAAGCACTGCTTCTAATAGCAAAAACCTGGAATCATCCAAATATTCCTCAATAAAAGATTGGTTAAAGAAAACTATGATAAACTCATACAACGAAATATGAGGTAACTATAAAAAAGATTGAGAAGGTTCTCCATTTATTAACATTGAAAGATTCCCAGAATTTATTATCAGATAAAAAAATAAAACAGAGAACACTCTATGATGTTACCTTTGGTGAAAGAGAAATCTAACAGTTTTTACGTTAGGTGATGCAATCTAGCCTTCTATGTACCTTCATCTAATGATCACACTGGATAGGGAAATTATCTCTTTGTTAATCTGTCCTCCTCACTAGGTATTAAATTCCTTAGGATAAGAAATTTAACTTTCCCACTATGCTCAGCATTCTGGCACTAAACACTTACCGAACTGTATTCCCAATTTACCATTTAGAGAATATATACTCATGAGATGAAAAAAAAACCTACTAAACATATTTTTAAAAATCCATTTCTTTCCTGATGACAATCCATAAAGAAACAAGACTGAATAAAAATGGTAGTGTAAGGAAAAGCATACCTAGCCCCAAGACCTTGGTATATACAGGAAAGTGGAGAACACCACAAAACAAAAAAAAAAATGCATTAATGTAAATACAAAAAATCTTTCAAATACTTGAAAAAAAATCTATCCCCAAAACACAGAATATGCTATAAAACAGTTTAAGTCACAAACACTGTAAAGGAAAATATTAAAGCTGATTCTAATAATTTTTACCAGTGATTTTATAACTGCAAGTTGCTCTGCTTTAGTAAACAAGAATAAGGTTTACTTATTTATTTCACCAGGTGAAAGGTACCATTTGAGTAGAACTCACACACATACCTTATTGTTTTTTTACTTACTTTTTTCCCCCGTTTTCCTTTATGACGCACGTCCTTATTGTCTTGGTCCAATGAAGGACCCAACTGTCTCACATCAGTGCCACTGGCTTCTTTCAACTGGTCAGAGGAACGTCTTGCTCTTCCAGGGATTTGGAATTCATTTTCTCCTTCTGCCCGGTTCCAGTTGGCCTAAGGGGTAAAGGACTAAGCTCAAATTCATATTTTCTCAAATGACTGTCCTCTTAGCTATGCTCTAATAATGTACTTGTTCAACTATCAGTGTTTGACAGTCTAAATATGACCACTTTTACTTGTCTTTCTTCTATAATTTTGTTTTATCTCATCATCCAAACCCCAACCCTTTGAGTTCTTTAGTTTGTAGCATATGGCCTAAAGCAAATTTCCAAAGACAAAGCATAAAAGATAAACTTACAGCAGTTATTAGGGTAAGTTATCATTAAATCAGATGTAGCTACATTTGAATTTAATTAAATTAACAAATTGTAAGTTTTAGGAAACAGATAAATGTAAGACTAAGTGAGTTTAAAGCAATGAATAAGGGGCGCCTGAGTGGCTCAGTCTGTTAACTGTCCAACTCTTGATTTTGTTTGAGGTCATGATCTCATGGTTCATGAGTTTGAGCCCTGTATCAGGCCATGTGCTGATAGTACGGAACCTACTTGGGATTCTCTCTCTTTCTCTCTCTGTCCCTCCCCTGCTCGCTCTCTCTCTCTCAAAAAATAAGCAAACTTAAAAAATAAATAAATAAAGGCAATAAACTCATGTCTGTTTAACCACTCTGCATTATTGGAAAACTGATTTTGTGTGTGTGTGTTTTTTTTTTTTTACTTAAAACTACAGGTATTTTGCTTGCATATACTTTACTGAATAAATACTTAAAAGTAAAAACAAGTCAAAATTATAGCTAATAACTAACTTTTGTTTACAGTTGGAGTTCTGGGACAATAGAGCAAACTAAAAATGACATGCAACTAGGGGCGCCTGAGTGGCTCAGTTGGTTAAGCATCTGACTTCAGCTCAGGTCATGATCTGACAGTTCGTGGGTTCAAGCCCCGCATCAGGCTCTGTGCTGACAGCCCAGAGCCTGAAGCCTGATTCAGATTCTATGTCTCCCTCTCTCTCTGCCCCTCCCCCACTTGTTCTCTCTCTCAAAAATAAACATTAAAAAATATTTAAAAAAAAATAAAACAAAAATGACGTGCAACCAAAAAATAACACCCGAGGAAAGTAAACATGTAACCTAAAAGTCAGTTTAATTTCTTTCCTAAAGCCCAGTAATATATGTCCAATGAATGTAGGGGTGAAAGGAGTAACTGCTCTATAATAGTTCTGAAATAATTAAAAATGTCACTTCACTCAGCTAAGTAAATGGCAAAGCTAAGACTTGAACACCTATCCACTTGGTCATGTTTCTGTCTTTATAAACTACTCTCTATGAGCACACTAAGGCTACACACATTTCTGTCTGGGGGGGGGCCACATGTTTTGTTAATATACTTTAAATGTTTAGTATTGGCTATGCTAAAGTATATATTGACCACCAGATCATTCTCATATGCAGTTCATGTAACCTAATGCTACAGATGACTCTGACCTTTGGTTTAGCCGGTAGTCTATTCCTATCGTCTGTGATCTTTTCAATATAGGTATGAATTGAAAGAGTATTCGAATTCCTGAGAAAAGAGTAACAAAGCTTTTGAGACTAAACTCAAGGGAAACCATTTTGTGAAATCCTCCCTGATCTCCTTCCTGAACTGTGTGTATACTTTTATTTCATCACCTATCATACTGTACTGTGGTTACTCAGCCACTGTAAGTACAAGAGAATAGGAGTTGTTCCATATCTTTATAGTGTCTTATTCTGTCTTCCCACCCACCATTTAATACCTAAACAATGGATTCTAAATACACACTGACTAGAGAATAAAAGATTATACAATTATGCTGTGAATCTCCTTCAACTTCAGAAAACTGTCAATATTCACAACAAAAATATTTTCCCCCTCTTGTCCTACATCAGGATGAGCAAGAACTAAAGAAAGCCTCTCCTTAATACTCTATTTTATCTCCCCATAACAGATCAACATGCAGGCAAAAAAAAAACAGGCTCAAATAAGGAAAATTCACAGGATGACCAACCATATTTTAAATCACACTTTATTTTCTCTTTATTTGGTTTCACTTATCATGAGAACAAAGATAATTCCCTCAAATAAAACCTGTTTCTTCCTCAAAATGCCAATCATACCCCTAAAATGTTCAACTTAAATCAATTTGACAATAAATTTCATATATAAATAAAAAAAAAATAAAGTTTAATTGCTGCAAAACAAAACAAACAAAAAAAATGTTCAACTTAGCCCATATGCTAATGCCAAAATTACCTTCACTTCACCATTTAGTCCCCTTAACCTATTTTTCCAACTGAGCAGGAACACAGTGATGATAACAAGAGCTAACATTCACAGAACACTACCGCTTGCCAGCACTGATATAAGACAACAATAACTTTAAATCTTCACCACGGCCCAATAAAGCAGATGATATTATTTCCATTTTATGATAAGGAAACTAAAAAGAAGAGCAATAAGTTGAGTTAAACAGCTATTAAGTGGAAGAGCTCAAATTCAAACCCAGAGCTCACAATCTTAATCATTACTTATAACCAATTTCCAACTAGTATTTGTGAACACACAAATTATATATTCTCAATCTCCTAACTCTGATTACATTACAGCCTATTACAATTTCTCTAAAAGCAAAAGTTGCTTACGTTAAAGCAGATTTTCATCCTAAAGATGATCATACATTACCTGAAGCCGAAGGTCAGACATCTGTCTTAATAAATCCTCGAAGAGTTCTCTATCATCTTCTGGTAATTCAGAAGACAAGACAACCCCCACAAAGCATCCTGACGCTTGTAACATGGTATCAGGAAACATGTAGGCTCCCACAGTACATTTAAGAACTGGAGATCTATCAGGAACTAGAGGATACAACCAGTCACAAACCTGAAGGAATTAGTTTAAAAAAAATTAATCAAAAGAACTAGGTTTTCACTGAAGTTTTAGAATTGTTATACCAGAAAATAAACATTTCCAAGTTCTAAATGCATTTTACAAAGCTTTACAGAATCAATGATTCTCCACTAAAAATTAGCTATTTGCTAGTATGATCTTTGTGCATACCACTCACAAGAACTGTCCTAAAAATGCTATTGCTCCACTAATTATACAGTGTTGAAATTAGTGACCTTAAATAGCCCACTAATTAACCAATGATGAGTCTAGTTTTAAATAAATAATGGTCAAAGTAAAGCGAAACTATATTATTCAAATTAGACATCCCTTTGTGGAAATACATAAAATCAAACTGTTTTCAAGTACATATAATTACTGATTTAATTAATTCTCACAACAATTCCATGAAGTTAGTTATTATCATTTCATGTACAAAACTGAGGCATAGAGAGGTTAATTAAGTTGCTCAGAGTCAACTAAAAAAGTAGAGCTAGGATTTAAACACAGATCTGGCACCAGAGAAGCCAGACAATTACTTTAATTAAATACCCAGAATTCATAATATTGAATAATTTTTTTTTTTTAGAAATTGACATGACATAGCTAGAATAGAATATGAAGTTATGTTTATGGAGTTACCTTCTATTATTAAGTTCAGTCAAAATGACACAAAGCTGCCCAGCAATATCATCAGATTGTCCATATGCTAAGACTTAAGCTCACTGGATGAGGCACATGGGTGGCGCTGGATTGAGTATCAGACTCTGGATTTCGTCGTGGGTCATGATCTCATGGTTCATGGGATTGAGCTCCCCATTAGGCTCTGCACTGAGGGGGCAGAGCCTGCTTGGGATTCTCTCTCTCCCTGTCCCTCCCCTCCTCACGTACATGTTCTCTTTCAAGTAAACATTGAAAAAAAAAAAAGGCTTAGGGGCTCCTGGGTGGCTCAGTCATTTGGGCATCTGACCGGCTCAGGTCACAATCTCGCAGTTTGTGAGTTTGAGCCCCGCATCGGCCTCTGTGGTGACAGCCTGGAGCCTACTTCTGATTCTGTATCTCACTCTCCCTCTGCCTCTCCCTGGCTCACGCTCTGTCTCTCTCTCTCTAAAAAATACACAAATATTAAAAAAAAATAAAAAAGAAGAAGACTTAAGATTACTTTCTGGAGATCTAAATTCAGGAAAGACTAAGCTTAAATCATAATATCCAAATGAATTCATTTCCATCGAGATTACATTCTTTGAGCAAGGAGAATACAATTGTGTTGCTCACTCAGGACACATGGTCTTCCTAATAATAAGAAACTGGGAAGAACAATCTATTATCAAAATATTGTATAGTAAATATGAGTCAAAGAGCATGGAAGATTTCATATAAAAAATGAAAAATTCTCGGGGCGCCTGTGTGGCTCAGTCGGTTAAGCGTCCAACTTTGGCTCAGGTCATGATCTTGTGGTTTCCGAGTTCGAGCCCTGCATCAGGATCTGTGCTGACAGCTCAGAGCCTGGAGCCTGCTTCGGATTCTGTGTCTCCCTCTCTTTCTGCCCCTCCCCCGCTCACACTCTGCCTCTCTCAAAAATAAGTACACATTAAAAAAAAATTTTTTTTAATGAAAAATTCTGGTATACTGCCATCATTTCTGACCAACAGAATATAAACCTGCAGGGATCAAAGAATCCAAGTCTGATTCTTTCTTGGAAAGTGCTTAAAAAACATTTTCAAATTCTTCTTTTATAGATTGTCTTTTTTAGTCATCTCAAATGCCACTTTCCAACTTTTTTAAAAGTCAAACTTTAGAGAAGTCACAAAATTGATTATCACGTTTTCAAAAGTATGATATATTGCCATGAATAGTATATGAAATAAATTTAAGTAATATACAGACTATTTGAGTAGTAATGTATTTTAATATATATTAACAAAAAAATACATCTTTCTCTCAACTTCACAGCTGTTATTGGTTAGGATAAAATTAACAAATGAGATATTTAAATTCAAATATTAGGAATGTTATAGCAGAGATATGAAATTGACAAAAAAGTTGTAAAAATTATACTTACATAACTAAAGTTTGGGAAAGTTTTATTTTACAATGTCATGATTTCTCTAAGATTAATTACATTCTGGACACCTTGACTGAAAGGGAGTATCCCCAAATCTTCTGAAATAAAACCTTATAGACCTTTCTCAGGGTAGATCATTAAGAACTGGAAGGCTCATCCACCACAGGTTGATTTCACCCAGATTCACTTTCAGGGGGCAACTTATGTCTAAGTTCTAATTAATGGAATAAATGTAATAGGTTTAAAAGGTATATTAAAACTAAAACCAGGGGAGCACCTGGGTAGCTCAGTTGGTTAAGCTTCTGACTTCAGCTTAGGTCATGATCTCACTGTTCATGAGTTTGAGCCCCATGTCGGGCTCTGTGCTGACAGCTCAGAGCCTGGAGCCTGTTTCAGATTCTGTGTCTCCCTCTCTCTCTCTCTGCCTCTCCCCCACTCACGCTCTCTCGCTGTCAAAAATAAACATTAAAAACAAAAATTAAAAAAAAAACCCTAAAACTAAAACTGGGGCATCTGAGTGGCTCAGTTGGTTGAGCGTTCAATGCTTGGTTTTGGCTCGGGTCAATATTTCATACTTCATGGGGGCTCACATCAGGCTTTGCACTGACAGCACAGAACCTGCTTGGGACTGACTCTCTCCCCCTCTCTGCCCCTCTCCCACTTGCATGCACTCTCTCACATGCACTCTTAATATTCCAATTTAAATGTCTCATTTGTTCATTTTATCCTAACCAAAGGAAATGAAATCTAGGTAACTAGTGCCACAACTAAACCAACCACATCATCTGGACTCTGGACAATAGGACCTGCTTTGCTCAAACAGTCATCTCCCTTCTAAGCAAACTCCTTTGTTATACCCAATGTAAATGGAGTCCTCATTTGTACCAATGTCCAATCTTTTAAAAATACATTGTTATTGGAACATCACCTTCAGAATAATTCATTAATTCTGTAACAATGCCCTAACATCCTGTATTTATAGCCAGCCTTTACTCTTCGACAAAGAGCATCCTGGTAAATTTATCTGCTTGGAATGTTAAAATGCATCTTAAATTATCATCAGAGTCTCTACTTCTAGACCAAGGTTTCTCAACCTGTGCATGATTAACGTTTTGAGTTAGATAATTTTTTTATTGACAGAAGCAATACTGTTTAGATGTTTAGCAGTCCCCCGGCCTCTACCTACTATCTGCCAGGAGCAGTAGCACAATAGCAGTTGTGACAACCAAAAATGTCTCTAGACGTTCCCAAAATGTCCTTGGGTTGGGGGGTGGGGTTGGGAACCACTGTTCTATATACTGGGCTGCGTCTAGCCCAGATCAACTGCTCAGATGGGGCTTGACAATATTTGTGGAAATTTACACATCCACATGAGTTACATAAATCTCTTCTGAATTGAAGTTATTAGGTTTCTTCTTCAATAAAAAATTGAAATTTTATGGGTACCTGAGTGGCTCAGTCAGTTTTAAGTGTCCCAATTCTTTATTTCGGCTCAGGTCATGATCTCACAATCCTGAGATCAAGCCCCACATAGGGCTCTCTGCACTGGGCACAGAGCATGCTTAAGATTCTCTCTCTCCCTCTGCCCCTCCCCATACGGTCTCTCAGAAAAAGAAAAAAAAGAATTCAATTTTAAGGATGAATGCTTCGATACCCCTCAGGTCCTGTCATCATAATTTTAAAAGTAAAACACAAGCTTGTATCTTTAAGGGTCATAAATTTCATACAATATATTAAAAAGAACCAGAAAGATCTTTTTACATTTATTCTCCTGGATACATAATATTGACAAACAAAAATAACGTATTTCATACATATTTCAGATTATGTTTACACTTTTCATTGGCTTACCTGAAGAAACCCAGGAGGACGGTTTAGAACTGTATCAAGAGAATTATCCAAGAACCTCACAATTCGAAGATACCCTGGATACGAAGGTGCACTAACCTCCCCTGCAGGATTTACAAAAAAAATCTGTACTCCATTTGGTATCAAAATCAACTCATCTGCATCTAGCCCTAAGGTCTCAAGAGGAGGTGGTTGAGAATGATTCCTATAAAAGTCTTCTCCAACTGATGAAAATTCCCCAGATTCTGTCCCATAGGATACAGTATAATGACCCTCAGCAGCCTGAGGAGTATAAGCAGGAGGTGCTTCTGCTGGATGACTCTGAGATGGTAAGGATAAAGAACTAGATGCAGAAACCAACCCTGGACTTGTTGAAGTGCTTCCATTTACTTCAGTGTGCTGAGAAAGTGAACTAAAGGAGTGAGGCTCTGGTGACTTTTCAGGTATGTCTTTAGGCGGAAATTCTGGATATAACTTGGGCACCTCCTGGAGATCATTCCGTAGAGAAGTGGCAAGACCCTTCTCCAGAATTTCCAATCTGGTACGTACATTCTGTAGTGTTTCTTTCATTTTCTGTTGCATCTGTCTAGCAGATTCCCAACCAGGACCAGTGTGTTCAGGCTCTGTGGATGAAATGCTGATTCCCCTGAGCAGGTGTCCTATTCCTTGCTTATAGTAGTTCTTTGCTTCTTCCTTCTGACCTAATTCATCTGTATTTAGTCCTTTATTAACAAATAAAAAGGCCTTTGTGTATGCTTCCTTGATGATCTTAATTTCAGAAGGTTCTCCATTTTGTGGTTCTTGCTCCATTTCTGCCAAACAGAAAATATTATCTTCAATTATCTAATTTAACTATTTCTTTACTGATTATCAATTTCTCCTACCTAAAGATATTTCAAGAAGACAGGAGCTTTGTTGGTCTGTCTTGTTCACTATTGTACTCCCTAAGCCTAGTATTAGATCTGACATAGAGAATGCACTCAATATGTATTTGTTGAATAGATAAATAATGCTCGTTCCTAAATATCTTTTTATTAAAAAAAAATTTTTTAACATTTTGGAGAGACAGAGAGAGACAGAGGCGAGAGGCAGAGAGAGAGGAAGACACAGAATCTGAAGCAGGCTCCAGGCTCTGAGCTGTCAGCACAGAGCCTGATGCAGGGCTCAAACTCAGGAACCATGAGATCATGACCTGAGCCAAAGTCGGATGCCCAACTGACTGAGCCACCCAGGTGCCCCTCTAAATATCTTTTTAATTAAAAACAGAAGAGAACAAGAATACATCTACTGAATAATTTTCTTGTTCCAGTTTCTTATAATAAATAAAAGTTTCCTATCACGTATCTAACGTTAGAACCAAAGAGCTTCATTCTAAAATGTACTATAATACAGATCCAGATTTTAGCCAACTAATTAAAAATGAGGTTGAAACACACATTAGAGAGGAGAAAAATGAGAAAAAAATATCTGGATAAATCTTTAAAGTTACCTGCTTCCATTTAAAGATGTCAAGTTACTCACATGTGGTTAGTTCTATTCCCTCCCAAAACTCCATTAAAATAACTCTAACAAGGGGCGCCTGGTTGGCTCAGTGGGTTAAGTGTACAACTTTGCCTCAGATCATGATCTCATGGTTCGTGAGTTCGAGCGCCACGTTGGGCTCTCTGCTGTCAGCAGAGCCCACTTGAGATCCTGTCTCCATCTCTCTCTACTCCTCCCCCGCTCATGCTCTCTCAAAAAATAAACATTAAAAAAATAATAAAAAAATTAACAAGATTAAAAAGGCATAACCTCTCATTCTTGTTAATGAGAAAATGACGTGAACAGGTACTTCACAAGCATATATTTTTTAATGTTTATTTTTGACAGGAGGAGCTAGTGGGGGGAGGGGCAGAGAGACAGTGGATCTGCATGGAAGAGGGCTCTGCAAGAGGGCTCTGCAGGAGGGCTCTGCACGGGAGGGACAACAGGGAGTCCCATGTGGGCTCTTACTCACCGAACCATGAGATCATGACCTGAACACAAGTCGGAGGCCCAACCGACCAAGCCACCCAGGTGTCCCCCAAAAAGAGTATTTAAATTTTTTTTTTAATGTTTATTTATTTTTGAGACAGAGACAGACAGAGCATGAACAGGGGAGGGTCAGAGAGAGAAGGAGGCACAGAATCTGAAACAGGCTCCAGGCTCTGAGCTGTCAGCACACAGCCTGACGCGGGGCTCGAACTCACGGAGTGTGAGATCATGACCTGAGCCGAAATCGGCCACTTAACCGACTGAGCCACCCAGGCGCCCCAAAGAGTATTTAAATAGCCTATGAAGGGGAGCATGGGTGGCTTAGTCAGTTAAGCGTCTGACTTCGGCTCAGGTCATGATCTCACAGTCCGTGAGTTCAAGCCCTGCATTGGGCTCTGTGCTGATAGCTCAGAGCCTGGAGCCTGTTTCAGATTCTGTGTCTCCCTCTCGCTCTGCCCCTCCCCTGTTCATGCTCTGTCTCTCTCTGTCTCAAAAATAAAATAAACGTTAAAAACATTTTTTTTAAATAAATAGCCTTTCAACGCCTTATCTTGTGCATACCTTCATTTCAAAGCTTATTTTACACAGTGTGCTGAAAGATTTCCTGAAATAATGTGTCTCTGGAAGAAATGGGTTGGCTACTGAGAGGGAAGGCAAGGCATGGGGGGTGAGGGGTGGGGGGGGATGGTGTCCAGGGGTCTACAGCTGAATAGCATTCCTTGCTGGCACCTCCATCTTGGGGGAGGGAGAGGGGGAGAAGTTTAGCAAGGAAAAACGCCTGGAAATTGATCAGGTGAAACGTAACTGGACTCTCTGCACACGGAAAGGAAAAGTGTGGGCTAAAATACTGTATTTTTAATTTGGGATTTATCCCAGGATGTTATATTCTCCGTAGTCTCTGAGAAAATGCATTTCACAGGGGTAGCAACTGCAGAATAGTATTTTTATCTTTTCTAGTGCCTGTTATGGGGTGCCTGGGTTGGGTCAGTTAAGGGTAAGACTACAGACTCTGGCTCAGGTCATGATCTCACAGTTCTTGAGACAGAGCCCCAAGATGGGCTTGCCCTGACAGCACAGAGCATGCATGGGATTCTCTCTCCCTCTATCTCATGCACAAGCACTCTCTCAAAACAAACTTAATCTAAAAAAGAAAAAGAATTACAAAATGCCTGTCATATCCCTAATCGCAATTAAAAGTTTATCAAAGGCTTGAAAAAATGAAACCCATTATTGCATGATTTCACTTATTTTAATTTTTAAAGTTTGGAACAGAAAGTCTTCAAAATGTCAATCTGTAGTATTTAATAAAACAGTATAATCGTCTTAAAACCGAAACCTGGTTCCAGATACAAGCGGTGCATTTTTTTTTTTTTTTTAACGTTCTAACAAAGTAAGTACAATGTGTGGTACATGTGTGTAAGCTTTAAAAAAAATCTCAGGAGAAAAGGTGAAATTCTGAATCAAACAACTAACAACTTAGTTCAATCCCATAAACCCTAAAAGCAGTAACGATCAAGGTAAAGGTCAACATTACAAGTAGTCTTTAATACAGACGTTGCTCTACTACCCACCTATCTGGCCTTTTACCAAAAAAGGAGGGGGAACTTTACCTGTATGCAACGCCCTCCAATACCATCCCATCCCATTCTCGTCAGGAGAAATATACAAATGATGGTCCACAAGGCCCCACAGGTGAGAAAGAACCCACATAAAAGCTTCCTGTTTCAAACAGGTTTCCTATAAAAACACCGAATGAAGTTTGATACTGCAATGGAGAGCAATTAAAAAATAGCTCGATTCGTAACCGGGGACCTTACTATATTTTTTCTCGGTTTTGCTTTCGGAAACTTTGAAGAAAAACTGTTGAATTCTGAACTATTTAAAGCAGGATTTCAGAGGCAACAGCAATCTCGAACGCAAACCCATTAAAATGACACGGCAATAAAGTTAAGTTTCGAGGATCCTCAAGTGGGAGTAAAGCAATCCATTAGTGGAAAACTGGGCCAACCCTACGGTAATGCAATAATGCCACGTCACGAAACAGTGCACATTCCAAGAAAAACTTTCCAGGCACAGAAATTAGGTCAGAGAGATCCTCTGCGGTGCCCAACCTCCAATGAACACGAACAAATGTATTCCAAAGAGCAAAATCCTACGCTCTCCATTCCCATTACAACTGCTGTTGGTTGCTGACATTTTGTAAACAAAGACTACCGAACTTTCACGAAGCCTAACTGCTGGGTAAGGGCGAATAACCACAGCCATTTTCGAAGCCAAGTAAACAGAGCGGAATGAGGCAGCAAGAAGGGTCAAAAGAGACATTCCGGGAGGACGACGACCAAAGTGGAGGGGGTGGGAGGCAGCGCTGAAGGCGCAGGAAGCGCAGAACTTGCAGGTCCCATAAATATGTATGATATGGGGGCTAAGTGAACAACTTCTCAAACTTTCCTCTAGAAATTGCTCCCTTCAACGACAGTTGCATCTCCTACTTGGATGAGGGGGTCCGGGCCTTCTCTGTCCTGCCCCTCCCCCCAGCCCCGTCAGCCCGCGGGGCCCGGGGCGCTCACGCCACCAGCCCGCCTTGGGGGTCCGCGCGAGGGCGAATCTTTCTCCTCCGGCCGCCGCCCCACCTGTGCCTTCCAGATCTCGGGCGCTCGGGCGCCACCCGAAGAGCTCCCCGCCCGGCTGCCGCAGGCCAGAGGCCTGCTCCCTCAGACGCGGCGCGGCGGCGAAGTGCCCGGCCGGGACCGGTCCCGAGGTTCTTCGCGCTTCGCACTAGCGCGCGCGCGACCGCACGACGGAACTCACAAAGCATTCCAAGTCGCGCGCTCCAGAGCGCGCCACGTCACGCGGCCGCGCCGCCCCGCCCGTCAGCTCTCGCTCCCGCATCAGGGCACTGCGGGTAGGTTTTCACGTGACGCCCACTCGGGCGCCTCTCTCCCCGCCCCCCTCCCCGGCCCGCCCGGCCTAAGTCCTACCCACCCTGACCTTCTAAATGGTGTGTGCGGAGACGTCAGTCACCTTCGAATCCCGGAGTCAAGGCGAAACTCTGTGGGGAGACAAGGGGCGAGGGCGGAAGGCCCCAGAGAACTACGTGAACCAGCCCCTCGCCGCGGACCCCCGACCCGGGTCTCCGCGGCCACGTCGACAACCCCCGCGCTTGCGCAATATCTTCTGCTTCCCCCGCCCCCCCTCCGCGGACCCAAGGCTGCCGGAGAGGCTAGGAGAGGGCGGTGGGCAGGGACGGAAGTCATGGCTAGAGGGAGCCCTGCGCGCGGTGCACGTGCGAGAACAAAGGCCGATTCTCTCCGCTCTTCTGGAACCTGGGCTCTGTGACTCCTGTATTCTAAGACCGTTGCCTCCCAAAGTCCACGTACGCTACGTGGTAAAAGTCTCGGGGTGTGTAATCTAGCAGTATGGTACAAAATGTTAAATTCCTGACACGTCAGGATACAGAGCAACGGTGCTAATACTTCTTACGACTGTGAGAGGCTAAAAGGGGAACGGCAAAGTGAACATACCTTACCTTTCTTCAAGACCTCTTTAAAATTAGTAAAATAGTGTGGACGCCAGATTTTAAACTCTTCAATCGGCCTGCCTTTAAAAAACTGCATGTATAATGCCCTTAGCCTTTACAGCTAGTGACTTGTTTACGCATGGCAGTGACTTACCTCCAAATGTATTCTTTACCTCAGTCAAAATTAGTCAGAGGACTGTTGGATGACCACTGGGTGAGGCTTTTAAATTAGGGGCCATTTGGGAGTTTCCCCAAGTTGAAGAAAGGTAACAGTCATCCC